GGCAGATATTGTAAAGGTTTTTCACTATACTCCTACAATGGAGGACACATGACAATAAAGGGATATTGTATTGCATATTGTATTGTAATTACAACAGAGAGAGGAAAACCTAAAGCATTTGTATCAAAGAGCATACACAGAAGAAGAATCTGAGTGTGTCCCAGAATATTATTGTCTTAAAAATGAAGTCTTGATGAGGAAATGGAGACCTCTGAATCTAATTGAGGATAATGGATTGAGTTTATTGAAACTTACAGAATGCTGAGAGGCCTGGAGAGAGTGGACGTGGAGAAGATGTCTCCACTCGTAGGAGAGACTAGGACCCAAGGGCACAGCCTCAGCAAGAGGGAATGACCCTTTAGAATTGAGATGAGGAGGAATTTCTTCAGCCAGAGAGTTGTGAATCTGTGGAAATCATTGCAGCAGAAGGCTGTGGGAGCCAAATCATTGAGTGCATTTAGGACAGAGAAAGATAGGTTCTTGGAAACAAAAACATAAATTGCTGAAAAAAACTCGACAGGTTTGACAGTATCTGTGAGAGAAAGCAGAGTTAACGTTTCAGGTCCACTGACCATTTTTCAGAATGTTCGCTCCACAGATGCTGCCCGACCAGAGTTTTTCCAGATATTTCTGTTTTTGTTTCTGTTTTCCAGCATCTGTGGTTCTTTATTTTTATGGCATAGGTACGCTCTTGATTAGTAAGGGAATCAAGAGTAATGGGGACAAGGCAGGAGAATGGGGTTGTAAAACACATCAGCCATAATCAAATGGTGGAGTAGGCTCGATGGGCTGAATGGTGTGATTCTGCCCCTATATCTTATGGTCTTATGGACTGCCTCTCCATGCTGGCATCATAAACATTTTGTGCCATCCTTGCAGGGGAATTAAAACATTAGTTTCTGTGTTACAGCAGGCAACCAGATCAGAGGGGAAAGCCTTGGCAACTCAGGGGCTGGGTTGGTGAATGGGGGCCTCTGCTCAGACAATGGGGACTCTGAATGGTATGGCTATCACCAGGATCAGATGAGATGCATCCAAGGATTTTGAAGGAAGTAAGACCGGAAATTGTAGGGGCACTGTTCATAATCTTTCATGTCTTTCCTAGACTTGGGACAAGGCCAGCAATTTCAGATCTGTTAGTTTAACTTCATGGTGGGAAAACTTCTAGAGACGATTATTCAGGATAACATTAGTAACCACATAAAAATACGTGAGTTGATTAGGAAGAGTCAGCATGGATTTCTAAAGGGGATATCATGTTTGACTAACTTGCTAGAGTTTTTTTTTGAAGTGGTAACGGAGAGGGTAATGATTGTCACGTTATTGATCTGGTACACATGGGAATCTCAGAGGTGTTTGTTACAATGTCACATGACAGGCTTGTGAGGAAAGTTATTGGTGTGGAAAAAAGGTCAGCAGAAACATGGACACAAAATTTTTTGAGTGTTATGAAACAGAGAGTAATAGCCAATGGATATTTTATGGGCTAGAGGAAGGTTTGTAGTAGAGTTCTCCAGGAGTCAGTATTGGGACTGTTGCTTTTCTTAGTATATATAATGAAACAGATCTTGGTGTGTAGCGGTCAATTTCAAAGCATTCAAAGATGACACATAACTTAAAAGAATTGTAAACTATGTAGAACTCCAAAAGGACATTATCAATTGTTGGAGTTGGTGGATAAGTGGCAGATGAGTTTCAATGCAGGGAAATGTGAAGTGATGCATTTAACTAAGATGAAGATCTCATGGAATACAGGGAGAGCTGGCCACTTGGATACAGAACTGACTCAAAGGTAGAAGACAGAGGGTAGTTCTGGAAGGTTGCTTTTCAGACCGGAGGCCTGTGACCTGTGGTGTGCCACAAGGATCGGTGCTGGGTCCACTGCTTTTTGTTATTTATATAAATGATTTGGATGTGAACATAGGAGCTGTGGTTAGTAAGTTTGCAGATGACACCAAAATTGGTGGTGTAGTGGACAGCAAAGAAGGTTACAAAAATAGAAGTTGGTGGCAAAGCTCAGCAGGTCTGGCAGCATCTGTGAAGAGAAATCAGAGTTAATGTTTTGGGTCCGGTGACCTGTCCTCAGAACATTTTTTCGAATGGTAGCTAGGAAGAATGTTGGTTTATGTGCAGAAGTCAGGGAGGGAGAGGGGTTCATGTGTAAACAATAGGTAGGGGTAGAGCCCAAAGAGAGAGAAGAACAGTTGGAAGACAAAGGAGTTGATAAAAATCTGGCTGAGAGGGTGAATAGCTGTTAATGTGGACTGTTAGTCACTAACAATAGATAGTGTGCAATGGTAGACAATGTGATAACAAGTTCTGAGAATGGGTAACCGGACTTAAAACATTAACTCTGATTTCTCTTCACAGATGCTGCCAGACTTGCTGAGCTTTTCCAGCAACTTCTGTTTTTGTTCCTGATTTACAGCATTCGCAGTTCTTTTGGTTTATATAGCCAAGAAGATTACTTCAGAGTACAACAGAACCTTGATCAGATGGGCCAATGAATGGCAGATGGCATTTAATTTGGATAAATGTGAGGTCGTGCATTTTGAAAAGGCAAATCACAGCAGGACTTAAATACTTTATGGTAAGGTCTTGGGCATGGTTGCTGAGCAAACAGATCTTGGAGTGCAGGTTCATAGTACCTTGAAAGTAGAGTTGCAGGTAGATAGGATAGTAAAGAAGGCGTTTGGTACACTTTCCTTTATTGGTCAGTGAATCCGGTATAGGAGATAGCAAGAACTGCAGATGCTGGAGTCCGAGTCAGGACTGATGAAGGATCCCAATCTGAAACACCTACTTTCTTGCTCCTCTGATGCTGCCTGACCTGCTATGTTTCTCTAGCTCCACACTGTATTGACATTGAGTATAATAGGAGATGGGAGGTCATGTTGCGGCCGGACAGGCCATTGGTTAGGCCATTTTTGGAATACTACGTGCAATTCTGGTCTCCTTGTTATAAGGATGTTGTGAGACTTGAAAAGTTTCAGAAAAGATTTACAAGAATGTTGCCAGGGTTGGAGCAATAGGGAGAGGCTGAATAGGCTGGGGTTATTTTCCCTGGTGCGTAGGAGGCTGACAGGTAACTTAATAGAGGTTTATAAGATCATGAGGGGCATGGATTGGGTGAATAGACAAGGTCTTTTCCCCAGAGTGGGGGAGTCCAGAACTACAGGGCATAGGTTTAAGGTGAGAGTGGAAGGATTTGAAAGGGGTCTAAGGGCAAACGTTTCATGCAGAGGGTGATGCGTGTGTGGAATGAGCTGCCAGAGGAAGTGGTGGAGGCTGGTACAATTGCAACATTTAAAAGGCATCTGGATGGGTATATGAATAGGAAGGGTTTAGAGGGATATGGGCCAATTGCTGGCAAATGGGACTAGATTAATTCAGGATATTTGGTCAGCATGGACGAGTTGGTTGAGGGGTCTGTTTCCGTGCTGTATATCTCTACCTAAGAACATTGAAGGTTGCAGAATTAGTGGTCAGAGCAGTTAATAAAGCATACAGTGTCTTTCCTTTAACAACAGGGGCATAGAGTACAAGAGCAAGGAGTTGATGCTGAACTTGTATAAGAAACTTGTTAGATCTCAGCTGGGATATTGTGTACCATTGTGGATGCCATATTATAGGAAAGATGTGAATACATTGGAGAGAGTGGAGAAGTGATTTACAGGAATAGTTCCAGGAATTAAAAACTTCAGTTCGGAGGGCAGATTGACGAAGTTGGGACTGTTCTCCTTAGAGAGAAGGCTGACAGGAGATTTGACGGTAGAGTTCAAAATCGTAAGTGGGCTGGATAGAGTTGATGGGGAGAATCTGTTTTGACTCATAAAAAGGAGCAAGGACTGCCTGGAAACGGCCTGGGGTGGAGGCTGGTTCAAGTGAGACATTCAAGAGGGTATCGGATGATTATTAGGATATAGTGTGTAAGGGTATACAGAAAAAAGTAGGAGGTTGGTTTTAGGTTAATGATGCTTATTTTAAAAGCCCGTGCAGGTACGGTGGGTCGAATGGTCTCCTTCTGCACCACAGCACTTATGTGATTCAGTTCAGCAACCATTTCTGACAATAAACTGGAAATCTGTCCCCATTGCTGCTAAACAATGTGGACCCAATCTACCTTTAATAGGCGACCAGAAGAACTTTTCTCATGAGTTACAGTTGAGCAACGTGCTTGTGTGAACTGCTGCTACATTTTAAACGTTTATATATAGTGCGCAGCTTGCATGGCTAAATGACAACGGACTGCAAATACACAATAACAACGCCCCGCGAAAATGCTACCAGTGACTACAAAATAAAATCACACGAGCGATAATACGAGTAAGCTTTCAGTTCCAACACAGCACAGACAACTCAGAGCACTCCTTCAGCAAGTGAAAACAAGTCCATCGCGCACTCTTATTTACCCCAGATTTGTTGAGATCTGCAATGCTTCGAGTTTGCATCTGCAACTCAAACACACCTATTTAAATATCGGTGAACTGCAAAATAAATGCAATCAGTTCAAGCAGGCAGGTTTACGCCTCGTCGAGCAATTGTCGCGACATTGAATAAATAAATTTTCCAAAAAGCTGGATCAAATCCATTTGCTGGTTATTAAAATGAAAACGCGTGTTGATGGGGTGGGGGAGGATAGGGCGAACGAAAGTCAGAAATGGAGAGAAGTGGAAAGTGGATGAACAGGCTGATTGCAGAGGATTGATAGGGTGTTGAGGAAGAGGTGCGGGGTGACTCGTAGGGTACGGAGAGCACTGAGTGAGGTGCTGAGGAGAGAATGGGGTAGTGCAGGGAGCAGAGGACAGCAGTGTCGAGGAGTGGGTTGTGAAAGAAGGTGAGTAGTTTCCGGGATGGTGTTGGCTGGGAGGAACACGTGGAGCAGCGGCGCTGTCTCTGTGTGTGTGTGTGTGTGTGTGTCTGGCGGTGGGGGGCGTGGGCCGGCAGGAATAGTATCAGGCAGCGCTATCTCTGGCTGTTCCTCACTGCTCTCTCTCCCTGCTTGCACTGACACGCAGCATCATTTGGCGTCACTGAAAAGTGCCTAGTGTTTCAGTACATTCCCTGCAGTCGTTGACTGAAGGACGGACTGTCTGTGTGCAGACTGACCCAGCAAAGCCCAGCAAGCAGCAGAGTGACCCGATCTGGGATCTGGTTGCGACATCCTGGATACGAAGCTGTATTGGGAGAGAGAGGAGAGTGAGAGCAGTCAACATGAGAACACTTCACTTCTCTGCCACTTTCATCCTTTCCATCAGCCTGGCTATCCTCCAGCTCGCCCAAGGTAAGTTTTATTCACACACCTGAATTAAAGGAGGCTGCTTGGATGTTTCTCTCTCTCTCTCTGCGCCTCTGCCTTGTGATTGTTTCGATCTCAGGACTTCACGCAAACAGGACAGTCTGTAAAAATAAACTGTTAAGATCAACCTTTCTGATGGCGGCACTTTTTGTGCACGTTGTTCGTCACAAAAATCATTTCAAGATTTCTGTTTTGATATTTTAAAAGAAAGGCGATGTTAGAGGATTGCTGCTATGCTGGGACAGGGTTAAGAGGGAAAGGGGTGTGTGTATATTGTTGTGTATCTTTCTTCTGTTGTTTAAACCTCGCCGTCTCGGGACGTCATTTTCCGCTGATCGCACGAAAAAATGTAGTTTGTGTGATATTCCCGGGGCTCCGGGAAAGTTTTAACCCTTCTCAGTCCTGAGAGTGAAAGATCCCGAGACCAGAATAAGCCCCACTCCCCTTGGCTTCCCTCTGTTCTCCGTCTCCGGCCGGAACGAAGGAAGGGGAAGGGGGAAGTAGTACCTTGTTTGTTTTATTTTGTGCTGTCTGATAATTTCCCCGGTTTGGGAACTGGGTACTGTCGGAGAGTACAACACGGGATGGGGAACAAGCCGCAGCTGCTTGCTGAGATGAAGATGTTGCGAATGGGGAGTGGTACATGAGATAGCAGTGAGATAACAAGGGACGCGAGCAAAGTGCTGATCAGATCGGGACGTTGACATTGGCGAGATGTGCCTACCCAAACACTAACCCTGTGCTTGTGTTGCTTCACCGACCCTAAGCTGAGATGGTGAATATTTCCTTTTGTAATCTGTAACAGATTCCACCAATTCAACACTAAAATGATGGATCCTGGTGGGAAACTTAAATGAAATGTGTCATTTTAAGCCGGTCCCTTTTTATCCCTTTGTTAACCACGCTCCCTTTATTTTCTGTCTTTAACTCCGGACCGTGTTAAATTTGGGTTTGGTCCTGTATTTTATTTGTTTAAAGACTCATCTCTTCTGGGCTAGGTAAGTGTTTTGTTTTTGTTTTAAACAAATACAATTGCAATTGTTTTAATTCGCTCTGCTAGAGGATTCAGTGAGCCCCGTGAAGCTGCTATCTGCCTCTCTCTGTGTGTCTATCTTTGGAGGACAAAGCTGAGAGAAATGTGGACTGCGTCAATGAGAACAGTGAGACTGTTCACTCAGCTCCAACATTCTGCACCGCCCCGTTCATCACAAGAGCCTCAGGGCTGTAGGAACACACGGAGCGACTCCCACCCGTCAGTTAGCCTCCCCATCACTAGCACTGACTGAGACAGGCGCACGGAGAGAGACAGAGACAAGCGAGAGGGCGCAACATTAATGCCCAATGTTTACTCTCGAGCACAATCGAAATAACTCCCCATGCCATCTGCAACACGATGCCATTTCCCTAAATGTTCCTTTAAACCAAGAGGAAAAATAATATACCCAAAGCGCAGGAGAGAAGATGCACTTTAAGTGTCGATTGATGCTCGCCTTGCCCTGCTCAGTATCTCTGATAACAGAAAGCCCCTGTAAACACAAAGACGGCTAAACCACCTCTTTGAATATCGAGGCTTTTCCGTTACCCACTGTTTAATCTCTGGTATCGAAATGAAATGTGGTTTATTTCATACGCGATAGAACGAACGATTCTCCCTGAACCCTCTTCTCTGATCTGATTCAGCCTGTTTTTGTTTTGATGACTTTCTTTATTATGGAAGTAAGGTTTGAGCGGGGATAAAATCCGAATAATTAATGTCGACTGTCAAATCTTCGGAATTAAAACGGCACCCATAGCCGTGTCATCAAGCTGAATATTTTATCACCTTGTAAATTATTAATCACAACGCTGCTTTAAAACGCATGCTGCTGCTGCACGCATGTGTTCCTACACAGCATGCATGCTTGTTTTTTTGGAACTTATTTTTAGGTAGGTTTGGACTGAATTCACCTCTTTCTTATTTCCCATTCAAGCTAAAAAGCTATCAAAACACTTCGGTAGAAGATAAATGATCAAGATGAAGTACACTTGCCGCGTTAAATTTAAGGATCAGGTGTTTATCAAATAATTAAAATCATCTAAAACAAACAAGGTTTATTTTAAGTTAGCTGTTTCATTAAAGCTACCCATTGATGGAGTAGGTTTGAAAATCTATTTTATAATTTAGGGCCTTCAAATAATAATTAAATGTATCAAAGCACATAACTGTTAATGTAAGGGTGTATCCATTGTAACAGAGCAGGTGATTCTGTGATCCTACTTCCCTGCTGCTTTGTACCTTTACGGCTGCGAAAAACAAATCTGACTGACTTTTCTTTTAATCTTAATTCCTCCATGTTGCAATCCCTTTCTGATTCACACCCTTGACTGTGTCAAATTTCTTTAAAAGGGACCTTCTGAAGAAAATACTCTTTGTAGCAATAACATGAAGTTCACAAATAAGACTGTCTGATATTATTATGACACACTCCCATGGCAGTTAGCAAAATATAATTAGAAACTACAGGACCACTCATCGACTCTTTTGTGGGTACTTATCAAGTTACAGAAAATTTGCAGCATTGTTGGAAATAGTCATAAATTATCAATATCATATGAATATTGGGCAAAAATTCCATAATGGATCCACTTCTTCAAAATAACTTGACTTTTTTTAAGTTTGCAAACTTAATATTTCTTGAAGAAGTAACGTATCCCCACAATGGAAACTTCTGTATATTGCTGGTTATAATTTCCCTTAACTTTAATGTTGTCCAATGATTCAGATGTCGGTGTTAGAATGCAATCCTAGATTGTATCCTTCTTCATGACTTGCTTTCCAGATCAGCGGGTATGACAGGGAATAAAGGCAAAACTGAACTACAGTCTACTTGATCGCACCTCATTTTCACCAATTGTGGAACAGATATTTTCGAATCAGCCTGTTCAAGCAAGTTATTACACACCTCTGGAACAAGTGGAACTTAAAACCAAACCTTCTGGTCTAGAGTTAGGGAAACTACTGCTGTGCCATAAGTAGCCCTACAAATTATGGAACATCAAACTACTAATTATTCACCACAGCTGTGACAAGGCAGGTGCAGGGTGTAGGAAAAGCTTAAAATTGGGAGCGTTTTTAAAATTCAACTTACTGGCAGCTGTATCCTTTAGGCACAGTGAGCTATGGGATATCAACACCACCCATTTAGAGAATAGGAATATAGTTTGTGTTTTTGTTTCTCTCTCTGATTCTTCAAAATGCTGGCCAATATAGAATAACATATTTCTCATCTGATAGAGTCATAGAATCATAGAGATACACAGCAGGGAAACAGACCCTTCAGTCCAACTCGTCTATGCTGACCAGATATCTTAAATAAATCTAGTCCCATTTGCCAGCATTTGGCCCATATCCCTCTAAACCCTTCCTATTCATTTACCCATCCAGATGCCTTTTAAATGTCATAATTCTACCAGCCTCCACCACTTCCTCTGGCAGGTCATCCCATACACGCACGACACTCTGTGTGGAGAATTTGCCCCTTAGATCCATTTCAAATCTTTCCCCCCTCACTTTAAACCTATGCCCTCTATTTTTGGACTCACCCATCCCAGGAAAAAGACGTTGTCTGTTTCCCCTTTCTATGCCCTTCATGATTTTATAAACCTCGAGAATGTCAGCCCTCAGCCTCCAATGCTCCAGGGAAAATAGCCTCAGCCTATTCAGCCTCTCCCTATAGCTCCAACCCTCCAACCCTGGCAACATCCTTGTAAATCTTTTCTGAACCCTTTCAAGTTTCACAACATCCTTCCTATAGCAGGAAGACCAGAATTGCATGCAGTGTTCCAAAAGTGGCCTAATCAATGTCCCGTACAGCCACAACATGACCTCCCAACTTCTATACTCAATGCACTGATCAATAAAGGAAAACATACCAAATGCCTTCTTCACTATCTTGTTGACTTGGTACTACACTTTCAAGGAACTAAGAATCTGCACTCCAAGATCTCCTTATTCAGCAACACTCCCCCGTTAGGGGCCAGTTGATGATGATCAGCAAAAGGCTTCTTGATGTTTAACTTGGAACTATGAAATTTCATGAAGTCTGGAGTCTGTTTTGACTGCATATCACAATGCCCTGCTGACCATCTGCTGTGTCTGTCCAGTTGGTGGGACAAGGCATACCCAGGTGATGGTAGTGGAAGAGTCCAGGATGTTGGCTGATGGACAGAATTCTGTGAGTAAAGTCAAGTCAAGCTGTTGTTTGTCTAGTTCGTGGGACATTTTCCAAATTGGCCACAGTTTGCTTATGTTAGTGAGGTGCAATTGGTGAGTCCACTGGATTGAATTTGTGTAAGTCTTTTCTGATATGAAACCTAAGTCATTGCCAGTATTGCCCACTTATTGTATGACTGCAGTCATGTGGAGGCCAAATGGATAGGTGTTGCAGGGTCATCTTCTTGAAGAATTAATCATTAATTAACTAGTTTGGTTATTTAGTAATTCAGCAGCTGCTGTGCCTGTTTTTCTGGTGTTAGCTTATAAATTACTGGATTTATTTAATTCAGTTATTACAGATGGCCGTATGGTGCAATTTGAAAACATGAGTTCTGAGTTACTCGTTTGGTACTATAGCCACCAAATTTAAAATAAGTAAAGTGTGATTATTCAAGATCCAGTGTTTGAATGCATGTCCATCTCTTTTAAATTTCATTCAACAAAATTGAGATTCTTTTACTTTGCACCTGTGCACTATTGTTCAACTGTCCTAGTCTGTTACAGTGTGTTAACTAGCATACATTAACTGAACTTTAGAAATTGCTGTTCAGAGCTTTTACTAAACTGGAGACATTGGTAAAAGCACTAAATGAGCAAAGCTTGATTGGAACAGTGCTCAAGCAGCACCCAAATTGTCACTCAGACATAGCTGTCAACGTATCTCAGATGCTTCTGAGTCAGAAGGCTGTAGATTCAAGCTCTAGTCACATCAACCTTGCCGTCACCCACA